GAATCGATCGCGGCCTTAAAACTCAAAATCCGTGACGTGATTAACGAAATAGACCCGCCATTTTGCAAAAAGTGATTAAAAACTTTGATGAAAGAATCGAAATCTGTCAGCGTGGTCGTGGTGGACATTTGCCAGATATCATTTTTCATTCATAATTGCCAAACTTTTCTCTTCGTAATACAATAAAAATTTGAATCATCTTCATCTAAACTCTTTGTTTTATTTCGTTTTAGAAAACAAAGTTCTTGTTGAAAAACCCATTACATTAATTTCTCTTCCTTCTCGTAGTGCTTCAATTAATGCTGCGGCAGTTAGAGGTCATAATATTTTTTTACTTTCTACTTACATTTCTGAACCAAGTATAAATATTTTGTCAGAACTCACGAGGATCATATCCTCCATCCCTCCTCGTATGGTCGTTCTTGGTGATTTCAATATGCACCTATTTTAAGGGGCTCCCATTTTTGTGATCCCTGGTCATCTAGATTTTTAGACATCATTGATGATTTAGATCTTTGTCTCCTTAATGATAGTTCACCTACACGTAGAGTATCCCTCCATCAAAACCAGAAAAGTGCAGTAGATCTGTCACTGTGTTCCCCTGCTCTGTCTTCCCTTCTTTCTTGGAGAATATTTAACTTTTTCCTATCGCAGTGATAATTTCCCTATTGTTATTAATCCTCCTAGCTCTTATGCAGTTAATCTTCTATTTAATCCCAGATTTAAATATAACACATGCAAAGCAAGCAGTTCTAGAGGAAAAACTTTCAGCCCGTGCTCCTGTTCAGAAAGATTGTGTTCTTCAGGTGTACACTACTTTTAAAAATGCTATTTTATCTGCTGCCAATAAGACAATTCCCATCAAAAAAATCATTTAATGCTTCTTCACCGCCTTGGTGGGATTAAGATTGCTTTGCAGCATGTTGGAGGCTGAATTAAGATTGTCGCAAACGGCGACTATGAGAAATTCCAAATATGTAAGAACGCTCGTATAGCTTCGGATCGATGATGAAATAACCATCTGAATGTCAGACGTAAAATACCCAGACAGGCAACAGCGTCAGGTGCGAGACGTCGCCAATCCACAAGTCGACAAACGAGCAAGCGGCTCACCTGATGGTAAGTGACTACCGCCGCCCATGTACAATCCGATACTGGCTAAGGCAACAAGGGGAGTATCCTGAAACTGAGGAGATACGACAAAAGGGTTCTTTTTAGCGGTAAACACGCAAACTTGTGACTTTCGGGGATTGAACCGGACTAGATTTAGTCGGCCCCAATCCGAGACTTTCTTCAACAAAGATTCGACTTTAGACACAACGTTTCCTGTACTCGGTGATGTTTCCTGAGAAATATTGGCACGGCTGGTGTATAAAGTATCACCAATGCTGTCGTCCGAATAGGAATGAATGTTACCGGTTTGCAACATATCATTGATACACAGAAGAAACAGCTTTGGTGATAGCACGCAGCCTTATGGAACACCAGCGTTAATGTTCTTGTAATCGAAACATGCACCGTCTACTACGACCTTGATGCTTCAATCTGCAAGAAAACTGATGATCCAATTGCACAATTTCTCGGGAAGCCCATAGGAAGGAGTCTTCAAAAGAAGCGCTTTGTGCCAAACCCGATCGAAGGCCATTTCACACTTCATAAATATACATCGTAATTAAAATATGAAATCTAAGTTACGATGTCAATTTTATATGAATTACATAAAAAAAATATTTCATTTAAATTACGAGTATTACAATTACTTGAATTCATATAAAATACACAAACACAACGAAACAAATACACAGCTCTAACGTAATCTAAATTTAGGTTTAGATCCGGAGCGCTCGACATGCAGCCTGGTCCTGTGTCGCATTATAGGGCAATCCAGATCAATCCGCCAGAAGACAGTTGCATGTAGCCATTTGAGTCGCTCCGTATGTGGCGCATCAGGGACGCGACTCGCTTCCGAATGATCGTTGCGAATCCGTCTATATTATATGCTTGGTAGCTTCATCAATGCTTGGCGTTGGCGTTATTGTATAGAATGCGTAGGACGTCGTAAGATTTTTTTGTGTACTTGACCCATAGGCTACACGTGTAGAATGATTGGCAGAATGCTCTGAACAACGTAGCCTTTACTTCTGCAGTACAAGCGCGCAAACCTACGTGCCAACAGATTGGCCCGAACAGACAACGCCCTACGCTCCCTATCTATATCAATATCTTCTGAAAGCGTCTCAGTGATCAACAATCAAACCAAATATTTGAACTGCGAGACTTTTTTCAGGACACTGGCATTTAGCGTGACTGGTGGGACAGTGGAGGTTTTTGATCCCGCCTTAAACACCATGAGCTCGCATTTGATGGCGTTGTATCTCAACCCATGGGCCTCCGCATAATGCTCGCAGATCGAAATTAGTTTTCGAAGGGCGCTGATCGATGGACTCAGCAGCACCATGTCGTCTGCATAACTGATGTTGTTAACAAGAACGCCATCAACCGAACATCCAACACCATAGCCGCTAAGCTCACGGATCATACGGTCAATGTACAGGTTGAAGAGGTTCGGCGATGTTAACCCGCCTTGCCTTACACCACACTCCAATCTGTACTCGTCCGATAGTGACCCCGACCACCGCACAAAATTGGTCTGATTCCCATACCAGTACTTCAGGAGGCTTATATACTCAGAGGGAAGGTCCGTATCACCCGACAACTTTTGTCATAGCTTGTCATATATAACTAACTCAAATGCTTTAGATAGATCCAAGAAGCAGGCATAGACAGGTGTGCTTCTATCAGTGTAGTATTGGATGGTATGCTTGAGATTCAATATAGCCATTTCGGTTGATATTCCGGGGTGAAATCCAAACTGTGCGTCAAGGAACTGTAGATGTTGTCTTAATTGAATATCAATGAGACCGTCCAGAACCTTAGCAATGACTGTTGCGAGTGAAATAGGTCTTTAATTACTTAATTTGGACGCGTCCCCCGTCTTGTTCTTTATTATAGGAACAACTACCGTTTTCATCATATCTTCAGGCAGGTAAAAATGGCTCATGCAGAAAGTAAACAACATGACGAGCACTCTCGAAATATGCTGCATTCTGCAAGTGTTCTACGTTGAGTAAGTCATGGCCAGGGGATTTTCCTCGATTCATGTTCCTCGCTACCTGAGCAACCTGTTTCGCACTGAATCGAACAACCGGTTTCGCCAAACTAGTATCTCCTACCTCTGTCGCGGTCTTCATAGGTCCCAATGTAGAATGCACCCTGAAATGTTCCCTGAATAAATTGGCAACTTGTTCGGCGTCACTAACCCCCTCTATACTCACTGGAACACTCGGCTTTGGATGCAATTTATTAGTCTCCTTCCAAAATTTACTTAAGTTTTTTGTGGCATGTTGTGATGCAAGAATGTCCATTTTTATCTGGGTTTCATTATTCTTACACCACTTGAGCCGACATTTAAACAAACTTCGCGAGTCTCGCATTTGTTCATATACTTGACCAGACGTAGTTTTACCTTGAGTGACCCACTCATGGAATCAAAGCCTAGCCTCCTCGTGTGCCTTTTTGCAATGTTTGTTCCAGCCTGTCACATACCTTTTCTTCTTGTTTATACTTATACAATTTTTAGAACATTCTGCCGCAGCTTCTCTGAGTACGTTTACTACATTTTAATAAAGTTTGTCAATTATTTGTCTATGTTCTATATTATCACACATTCTATCTGCGCAATCTTGAAAGTCACAAGGAAAATCGACATCACGCAACTTAGTTGAGCAGATGTGTAGATACCTATCTACCTGCTCTCTATCTCTTTCAGCCCAGACAGCTCTATCCGGCACTGAGCCTCTTAATTGTATTTTAGGTACCAAAATATTAAGGTCACAACAATTCGACTGCGAAATGATCGGAACATGACACCTCATATCGTATATTTGCGCCCAGAATGGTATCATTTGCGACTTCAGTAGGGATTACATGATCCAACCATGACGTAGTTCCATAAGCGTTACTAAGGAATGTATATGTACCTGAATCTAGCTTTAATGTATATTAGAAATAAAAAGGGACCTAATACACTTCCCTGTGGGATACCGTATTCATTATTTTGTAACCGAGATCTTCTTATAATTTTATTGCCCTTTTGTATTTAGCAACCTTTACGCACTGTTCACGACCACTCAGATAACTCTCCAGCCAGTCATGTGCTTTTCCCCTGATTCCATATTTTTCAAGCTTATATAGTAAAAATTTATGGTTTACGAAATCGAAACCTTTAGTCATATAAGAAAGATCGCACTTACCAGTGCCCTTTTCTGAGGATGAACTGAAATATTGGACACAGGCATCTCTTACGCTTCGACTGTTCGATTACTATCGGTATTTTTTTGAAACTGTATGGGTTTCACATAGAATTCTGTTACTCGGGAGTATCTTCCTCCATTTTATTTTAACTAATTACATATAAAACAACTAAATTACTAAATACTTATGGATTTATAACTAAAACCAACGCCAACACAAGGAATAAACAAAACAGTAAATCAACTGCTCTTAGAAACACGAAATAGCCTGAAATAGAACGACACATATACAAGTGTAGTTATGTTTTCAGCTATTTCGATATATAAGAAGGTCATCTCTGTGAGATATACCTCCTTATATATCGTCTTCTTCAATGTCCTTCTTCAAATCATGGATATCTTTTTAAAACTGTGTGTCTATTCGGGTCAAATTTAGTAATTGATTTTAAACTAACTTCCTCATGAGGTGGGGATTTGAAATCTTGAAAATAGCTCAGAATCGGATTACAATGTAAGAAATGATATGTGGTATATTATTTTTTTTATACATAATAATTTTAAAAATCACTTGTTATGTATCGTATGAGTGCAGGAAGTTTAAAACGCATGTAAGTTGTTCCTGACGAGGGACTTTCAGAAGCCTAATAAATGTTCGACCTTTCCGACTTTTCCTATAATTGTGTGCAGGAAGCGAAGGACGCGTGCAAGTCGTTCCTGATGAAGAACCCACAGAAGCGACTGGGCTGCGGGCTGCGCGGCGAGGAGGACGTGCGCACGCACGCGTTCTTCCGCCGCATCGACTGGGCGCGCATCGAGGCGCGCGACGTGCAGCCGCCCTTCAAGCCCAAGATCGTGAGTATGCGCGCTCAACATTAGAATCACTCCTCCGTACCATCACTTCGTACTATACCATCATCACATCGGAGGGCGCGCATCGAGGCGCGCGACGTGCAGCCGCCCTTCAAGCCCAAGATCGTGAGTATGCGCGCTCAACATTAGAATCACTCCTCCGTACCATCACTTCGTACTATACCATCATCACATCGACTGGGCGCGCATCGAGGCGCGCGACGTGCAGCCGCCCTTCAAGCCCAAGATCGTGAGTATGCGCGCTCAACATTAGAATCACTCCTCCGTACCATCACTTCGTACTATACCATCATCACATCGGAGGGCGCGCATCGAGGCGCGCGACGTGCAGCCGCCCTTCAAGCCCAAGATCGTGAGTATGCGCGCTCAACATTAGAATCACTCCTCCGTACCATCACTTCGTACTATACCATCATCACATCGACTGGGCGCGCATCGAGGCGCGCGACGTGCAGCCGCCCTTCAAGCCCAAGATCGTGAGTATGCGCGCTCAACATTAGAATCACTCCTCCGTACCATCACTTCGTACTATACCATCATCACATCGACTGGGCGCGCATCGAGGCGCGCGACGTGCAGCCGCCCTTCAAGCCCAAGATCGTGAGTATGCGCGCTCAACATTAGAATCACTCCTCCGTACCATCACTTCGTACTATACCATCATCACATCGACTGGGCGCGCATCGAGGCGCGCGACGTGCAGCCGCCCTTCAAGCCCAAGATCGTGAGTATGCGCGCTCAACATTAGAATCACTCCTCCGTACCATCACTTCGTACTATACCATCATCACATCGACTGGGCGCGCATCGAGGCGCGCGACGTGCAGCCGCCCTTCAAGCCCAAGATCGTGAGTATGCGCGCTCAACATTAGAATCACTCCTCCGTACCATCACTTCGTACTATACCATCATCACATCGACAGGGCGCGCATCGAGGCGCGCGACGTGCAGCCGCCCTTCAAGCCCAAGATCGTGAGTATGCGCGCTCAACATTAGAATCACTCCTCCGTACCATCACTTCGTACTATACCATCATCACATCGACTGGGCGCGCATCGAGGCGCGCGACGTGCAGCCGCCCTTCAAGCCCAAGATCGTGAGTATGCGCGCTCAACATTAGAATCACTCCTCCGTACCATCACTTCGTACTATACCATCATCACATCGACTGGGCGCGCATCGAGGCGCGCGACGTGCAGCCGCCCTTCAAGCCCAAGATCGTGAGTATGCGCGCTCAACATTAGAATCACTCCTCCGTACCATCACTTCGTACTATACCATCATCACATCGACTGGGCGCGCATCGAGGCGCGCGACGTGCAGCCGCCCTTCAAGCCCAAGATCGTGAGTATGCGCGCTCAACATTAGAATCACTCCTCCGTACCATCACTTCGTACTATACCATCATCACATCGACTGGGCGCGCATCGAGGCGCGCGACGTGCAGCCGCCCTTCAAGCCCAAGATCGTGAGTATGCGCGCTCAACATTAGAATCACTCCTCCGTACCATCACTTCGTACTATACCATCATCACATCGACTGGGCGCGCATCGAGGCGCGCGACGTGCAGCCGCCCTTCAAGCCCAAGATCGTGAGTATGCGCGCTCAACATTAGAATCACTCCTCCGTACCATCACTTCGTACTATACCATCATCACATCGACAGGGCGCGCATCGAGGCGCGCGACGTGCAGCCGCCCTTCAAGCCCAAGATCGTGAGTATGCGCGCTCAACATTAGAATCACTCCTCCGTACCATCACTTCGTACTATACCATCATCACATCGACAGGGCGCGCATCGAGGCGCGCGACGTGCAGCCGCCCTTCAAGCCCAAGATCGTGAGTATGCGCGCTCAACATTAGAATCACTCCTCCGTACCATCACTTCGTACTATACCATCATCACATCGACTGGGCGCGCATCGAGGCGCGCGACGTGCAGCCGCCCTTCAAGCCCAAGATCGTGAGTATGCGCGCTCAACATTAGAATCACTCCTCCGTACCATCACTTCGTACTATACCATCATCACATCGACTGGGCGCGCATCGAGGCGCGCGACGTGCAGCCGCCCTTCAAGCCCAAGATCGTGAGTATGCGCGCTCAACATTAGAATCACTCCTCCGTACCATCACTTCGTACTATACCATCATCACATCGACTGGGCGCGCATCGAGGCGCGCGACGTGCAGCCGCCCTTCAAGCCCAAGATCGTGAGTATGCGCGCTCAACATTAGAATCACTCCTCCGTACCATCACTTCGTACTATACCATCATCACATCGACTGGGCGCGCATCGAGGCGCGCGACGTGCAGCCGCCCTTCAAGCCCAAGATCGTGAGTATGCGCGCTCAACATTAGAATCACTCCTCCGTACCATCACTTCGTACTATACCATCATCACATCGACTGGGCGCGCATCGAGGCGCGCGACGTGCAGCCGCCCTTCAAGCCCAAGATCGTGAGTATGCGCGCTCAACATTAGAATCACTCCTCCGTACCATCACTTCGTACTATACCATCATCACATCGACTGGGCGCGCATCGAGGCGCGCGACGTGCAGCCGCCCTTCAAGCCCAAGATCGTGAGTATGCGCGCTCAACATTAGAATCACTCCTCCGTACCATCACTTCGTACTATACCATCATCACATCGACTGGGCGCGCATCGAGGCGCGCGACGTGCAGCCGCCCTTCAAGCCCAAGATCGTGAGTATGCGCGCTCAACATTAGAATCACTCCTCCGTACCATCACTTCGTACTATACCATCATCACATCGACTGGGCGCGCATCGAGGCGCGCGACGTGCAGCCGCCCTTCAAGCCCAAGATCGTGAGTATGCGCGCTCAACATTAGAATCACTCCTCCGTACCATCACTTCGTACTATACCATCATCACATCGACTGGGCGCGCATCGAGGCGCGCGACGTGCAGCCGCCCTTCAAGCCCAAGATCGTGAGTATGCGCGCTCAACATTAGAATCACTCCTCCGTACCATCACTTCGTACTATACCATCATCACATCGACTGGGCGCGCATCGAGGCGCGCGACGTGCAGCCGCCCTTCAAGCCCAAGATCGTGAGTATGCGCGCTCTAACATTAGAATCACTTCTCCGTACCATCACTTCGTACTATACCATCATCACATCGACTGGGCGCGCATCGAGGCGCGCGACGTGCAGCCGCCCTTCAAGCCCAAGATCGTGAGTATGCGCGCTCAACATTAGAATCACTTCTCCGTACCATCACTTCGTACTATACCATCATCACATCGACTGGGCGCGCATCGAGGCGCGCGACGTGCAGCCGCCCTTCAAGCCCAAGATCGTGAGTATGCGCGCTCTAACATTAGAATCACTTCTCCGTACCATCAACAGTAATTCTTCCACCGCATCGACTGGGCGCGCATCGAGAAACACAAAAAAGGTTTAACTTCTTCTGTTATAATTATCGTGCGTACTGGCCGCAAACATTAGTAAAAGCTATTAAAAAAAAGTTTTGGAATATCAATTTTTTTTTTCAAAATTCAAATTTTGAATTTGAGTTTAAATTTAGGTTTTGTTCAGAATTTTGCTTTGACTGCCTTGTTTATCGTATTAAGTGTAAATTGTTTCTTCAAATAAACTGAGAACACCAGATATAAACGCCACTCAAGTTGCTAAGGCTGTTACTTTAATTGAAACTGAGCATACCGAAAAACACGTGGCCCAAACATTACAAGTATCAAAATCTGTGGTACACCGAGTTGTCAAGAAGTATCGGCAAACCCAGTTGTTCCAAGTTTATAAACTATGTCCAGAGATGACCGGCTTATCGTCAGCAGTGTGCTTAGAAACCGGTCTTCAACTTTTTCTGAGGTAAGAATGAAGCCGCAAGAGGTTGAGGGAGTTACAGTAAGCACAAGAACTGTGAGAAAAATACTAAGATCAGCCGATATAAATTCACACTTGCCTGTCAGAGGCTCCCTTCTTGTCACTGTGCCTGCCTGTAGCTCGAGTTAATTTTGCAATTACGAAAATTATAATGACGAATCTTAGAGTCAAGTTGTATTCACAGACGAGTCCAGATTTTGTCTAAAGCTAGATGATGGAAGGATAAAAGTGTGGAGACACCCGGGAGAGAGGTAGGCTCACTGCAACGTCATTGGAAAAGAGGCATATAGAGGCATATATATACTACTATAGTAATCAGTTATGGTATGTGGAAGTATTGTTTGGGGCACGTGCAGAACACCGCGTCATTGAGAATGTGTCATTAACAGCGGCACGATATGTAACTGAGATTTTGGTAGAAATTGTTGTACCATTTGCCCCTTTTATAGGAGATAGATTTGTTTTGATGCATGATAATGCACGCCCCCATATTGCGGCCGTAGTTGTCGAATACCTTCGAGACGTTGAAATCATTGCTATGGGGTGGCCAGCGCGCTCGCCCGACTTAAAGCCCATAGCGCATATATTGGATAAGCTTGGAAGACAGATCAATAAAATAAATCCTATCCTCGCTAATTTGAGAGATCTTAAAAACGCATTTCAGGAAGAAGGAACGCAATCTCTCAAGATTTTATTGATTAGGTGTATGCCAAGGAGACTGAAAGCAGTTCAAAGAGCTAGAAGGGACAACATTTAGTACTTACTGATTATGCCCACGTTATTGCATTTCCTAAGCATTTGAGAAAAAAAATTAAGTACAAATATGTGTCTTTCCTGTAATATTTTTCTATTTTTCTTAATTTGGTTAATTTTTGTCATTTAATCGTTTGTTTTTCGACGTTTTCATTTTAAAATCAAGTAATAAGCAGAATCCAATTTAATAAACTTGATTGTCACAAATATACATGATATTTTGTTTTATACAAGCTTTTTTGCGTTCCTCTAAATTTGTCCATGAATATATTTTCATTGATTACTTCGTAATATTATTGATGGCAATCTTTATTTTGGGGTTCAAACTGCTAGAAAGCTTAATAGGTTAATATCCAAGGCCAATTAAATTATTATTTCGTGTTTATATTTGTTTTAAATCAAAGAGACATAGTTATAAAACAACCTTGGAATTAAATCACCATGCACAAATCATTTATACTAATAAATCGTAACTAGTTTGACAGTTACATACAAGTTACTTTCACAAGCCTATATAGTCATCTTTCAAAAGTAGTTTTTTTTCTAATTTATTGCCTTATTATTTAAAAAAAAAAAACATCGTGAACGAAACACTAAAACAATGAGCGATATGCCGAGTGTTGCCACATTTTAAAATTAATCGACGTTTATAACAAAACATTATCATAATTCATAACATATCAGAAAGATGGGCAGCAGGAACATCTCTTCTTTCCTCTGTCGTCTCTTATGCCGCCACTACAAGGTATTTTTCGTAAATCGTGGTTACGCAAATCCAAACGGCTAATTAAAATTTCCACATCGTTAGTATTAAAGAGTATTAATTTATAGTATTTTCAAAGAAAAACAACACAGTAGGTATTTAAAATACTAAACAAATTCATTTGTTCCCTCTTCAGAAACACCGAAAGGACGTATCCAACTTCGACAAGCAGTTCACACAGGAGAAGACGGAGCTGACGCCAACTGATAAGCTTTTCATGATGAACCTGGACCAGACCGAGTTCATGGGCTTCTCTTTCCTTAACCCGGAGTACGTGCAACACGTTTGAATGCACAGGTAAGAATCGTAATTCGGCCAAATACCAAAAATAATTTCTATTACATTACGACAGTTGTGTTCTTTTGTTTCTCTAGTATATTGTCAAATTAAAAACGACTTTAAAGAACCTGGTCGACGGGCGAACTTTACCGCAGTCTTAATGGCTTGCCGAAAAATCTCGCCAGAGTTGTATGACACTTGGCACATTGCTTCTATAACTATCTGGCACGCCAGTGTATAAGGAACGACGAGCCGCGAGTAATGCCCGTCCATCAGGGCCTTAACATACATAACATACATAAACACTCACGCCTGTCACCCAGAGGGGTAGGCAGAGACTACGGACTTCCATTTGGCGCGATCCTGACACACCTCTCTCGCCTCTTTTACATCCATATATCTACGCATACACGCTCGTCGGTTATGGGTACTCCTAATCTGGCCCATTTTTAATGTATCGCCGATTTGGTCGATAAACCTTCGTCTAGGGCGTCCCTTCCCGACCCTGCCGTTCACTTCCGCAACATAAATTTGCTTTGTCACTCTTTCCTCGTTCATTCTTTCTACATGACCAAACCACCGAAGCATTCCTTTCTTAATCCTTGTCACAACGTCATCTTGCAGACCACACTTTTCTCTTATCACACTATTTCTCACCCTGTCATTCAGATTCAGCCCTAGCATACTCCTTAAGGAACGCATTTCTACAGCATTTATTCTACTCTCATGCTTCTTCTGCCAGACCCAACTTTCACTACCATACATTAAAGTAGGGACTAACACAGCATTATGAATTGCCATACGTGCCTTAGTTGACACATTCTGACTCCTCATAATAGCGTGTAGAGCCCCATTCACTCTATTTCCTGCGTTCACTCGTCGTTCTATATCCTTATCATATCTACCATCCCTGCTAAATAAACATCCCAAATATACAAATTCATCCACTTGCTCAATCAACTCCCCTTCTATTCTTATTTCACATAAAGTTTTACTTTCTTCTCTTTCAAAAACCATCACTTTCGTCTTACTTGCGTTCACTTTCATACCCCTTTCTTTCAATGACCAATTCATTAAAGTAACCATCATTTGCAACTCGGCCGCCGACGATGCAAATATGACTTGATCATCAGCGTACAAAAGGCATTTGACGGTTGACTCACCCATTCTCAACCCACATTCTTCAACTTTCAAAGTTTGCAAACAACTGTCCATAAATAAGTTAAACAGCCACGGGGAAGCCACACATCCCTGTCTGACACCTTTATGAATGCCAAACCAGTCCGAGTAGACCCCGTTGATCCTGACACAAGCTCTAGAGTCCCTATAAAGAGATCTTAATGCCTGTATCAAGCCAGCGCTCAACCCAAATGAGTTCAGTGTTTGCCATAACACATTCCTGTCCACTCTGTCATAAGCCTTTTCCAAGTCCATGAACGCACAAAAAACTTTCTGGTTTTTAGCCAAAAACTTCTCCGCTATCATGCGCATGGAAAAGACTTGATCCGTACACCCCATCCCCTTTCTAAATCCAGCTTGCACATCCCAAATTTTTCCATCAGTTTCTTCCATAACTCTTTCAATTAACACCTTAGCATACAGTTTACCCACAATGCTAAGCAAGCTGATACCACGGTAGTTTTTACAGTCCTGCTGCGACCCCTTTCCCTTATATATTGGGACTATAACGGCTTTGCACCAGTCTTCCGGTACCCGTTTCAGTTCCCAACATAAATTAAACAAGGTGTGCAGCAGGCCTGTCACCACACCATCACCAGCCCTTAGCATTTCGAGTGATACTCTATCATATCCGGCTGCCTTACCTGCTTTCATGCTTTTCATTGCTTTCATTATTTCATCTACACTTATCTCCCTACCTCTCTCCACTTCTTCCGGAATTGCTATTTCACTTATTCCAGACGACTCTTCACTCTTAAACACGCTTTCAAAGTATTCCTTCCATCTCTTTAAATTCGAAACTTCATCATTCAGCATGCAGCCATTCTCGTCTCGTATAGCATTTATTCTAGGCTGTTTTGAATTTCCCCTGGCAGTTCTTACGAGCTTCCAGAACATTTTAATATTTGCCTGGAAGTTATCAGATATCCTTCTATCATTCTTATCTATCCTTTCTTGCTTTTTCCTTTCAACAACTTCTTTTACTCTCTTATTTATACGTCTAAAGTCTGCCTTTTTTCTTTCAATCTCATCATTCATACCGCCAGAATTACCAGCTTTAGTTGCTAGTAAATCTAGCCATGCTCTCTTCTTTGCTTCAACTTCCATCCGTACCTCATCATCCCACCACAACGTATTACTTTTCCTTTCATTCGTTCTCTTACTTACGCCGCATACTTCGGTGGCTGCATCCACCAAAACTTTCTTAATATTATTCCATACATTCTTCAATTCTAAATCATTCATACATAATTCATTCAACCCACTTATATTTTCCCTCAATCTGCATTTATACTTCTCTTTCACACCTTCATCTTGTAACCTCTCTATTCTTATACGCTGTAACGCAGTGGTAGACACCGATGTCCGATGCCGCCAACGTCTGAATAGACCATTAATTCGGCATAAGACCAAGTAATGATCCGTCCCTACGTTGGACCCCCGGTAAACCCTTGTATCTACCACTGCGCTCCTCATTCTTTCATCCACAATTATAAAATCTATCATGCTTCTATCATCCCCTCTTTCCCATGTATACATGTGAATCCTCTTATGGCGAAAGAAAGTGTTCGCCACAAAAAGATTCTTTTCCACACATACGGTGAGGAGGTCTTCACCATTCTCATTTATTCTTTCATCGCCAAACGTTCCTAATATCCTTTCATAACCAGACCTCTTCACCCCAACCCTTCCATTAAAATCTCCTAACATAATAATATTTTCATTTTCCTTACATTTCATCAACACCAGCCTTACCATGTCCCAAAACTGCTCTCGGATATAAGTGGGCTTAGACATATCTGGGGCGTACACCCCTAGCACAAACAACTTCTTTAAGCCCACTTTAATTCGTATCCACAGCAGCCTTGGGCTAACACATTCATACTCTTTCACACATTGACCCATTCTTTCTGAAAGGATGACACCGACTCCCTGGCATGCCCGCTCGGTCTCGTCTACTCCAGACCAGTAAGCGGTATACATGCCATGTGCAGTGACATCTCTTCCCTTTCGTTTCGTCTCGTTTACACATAACACATCTATTCCTCTATCATTCATCATTTCGCATACTTCATCCATCTTATCATTCATTGCTCCACATACATTCAGCGTGGCCAGACGGGCCTCCGCAATCCACTTTTCGCCCCCCCGGGAGACAGGACGTGACGGGTGGCGAACCTCGTCGCCGGTTTTTCTCCCGGAGATTCTTCGCACCCCTGCCCCATTAAAGGGGCGCCGGGAACTCGGGGCCATTTCTTTTCCTTCTTGGCTCATGGTGCGAACTAAAGGGTGGTAGATTTTATGCCGCTACCATACGGCGAGGAGCCGAGGCTGTCGTTTCGGCTTTGTCGCTCGTTTAGCACCACCCGGGGGACACGTGTGGGGTGGGCCTAGGATTAGGTGGTCGAAGCCTACGGACGCGAGCGACTCATCCCCCTTAACTTATGTTAAAAGTTATCTTTTACTTTTTGCACGATTGCGTTTCTCATGTCATCTCATCATCGGCATCTACGTTCTTAAATTAATCAACTTATACGTCATATATATTATATTTTTAACGGTATAATTTTTTTTATCAAAAATCTATTCTTTTATACCATACCATACTATACCAGAAGAAGACAAAGTATATTACTTAATCTTATCATTAACCTGAACAAATCCTGTTTTTGGATCAAAAACTGAACTTGTTTAGTTAAATTTTATAATAAAACTAAATCAGTCTAGGTTTTTATCTAAAATCTGATTTTATCATAAACCTGCGACATATAGGTACTTAATTGGAGCCATTGCAAAAGAGGTAAATGCCATTATTTTTAATATTTAATCCTAAAATACTTGATGAGTTACCTTTTTAGCCGATGTTAAAAAATAATAGTTTCACAATTCGGCGGTACGTTTTTTTTCTTAGCCAGTTGAGACCCGATTTTGAAGCTACTTTTTTTATTAAACTGGTTATAATTACCTAGGGTAGAAAATAGGGGATGAGTTATTAATGTAACTATTTAGGCGACATTGAGATTGTGATATTCCTTAATCCAGTCAAAGGAGTAAAAAATAACTTTTTACAAAAAGTAAAAGCCGACTTCGAGGAATTAAAAAGAATAATATAGTATGGTAATATAATACACTATGGCTTATCATACTAAAGTTAATTTCTGAAAAGATTTAATGTGTCTTTTTTACTTATTATAATATTACTTATTATCTTTATATATAAAACTAAGTGTCACGTTGTTTGTCCGCGATGGACTCCTAAACTACTGAACTGATTTCAATAAAATTTTGCACATTGCGTTCAGTTTGGTCCAACTTGAGAGATAGGATAGTTTTTATCCCGATAAATGACCCTCAATATTTTTTTATTACGAATTTTTTATAGGACAAAAGGTCATCGGAGAGGGCAGAACAACGTCTGCCTGGCGAGCTAGTATAAGATGCCTGCACTTTTATCATCGTCACTAGACTAATTTTAAACACTCGCTACCCGCGGTGCCATAAATCATCGGTGCGCTAGGGGCAGACGCGCGCGGTGCGTCACTTATCGATAACCGCATATTGATTCCTAAAAGGATGAAGAATAGTGTGCAATTAATAAGTGCGGGTAATTTAATAATTACTTTGCAAGGGTAATTTCATAATTATTAATTACATTTAGAAGGTATAAATTTTTTTTTAATATGATTCAAAATAAGTTATAATGGAAGTATTTTTGGAAAGCAATATGAAACGTGTTGTAACAAAAATTCATATTGTACACATCGACACTACAGTGGTGCGGCACTATGCCTGCTGTGAGGCCCGTAAGTGCGACAGAGAGCGCAACAGGCG